AGTGATGGCAAACACGATCCACGTTTCGTGGGGGGCTGTGCGCTCGTGCTCATCTCTCCTCCTCTGGTAATCTGCTCCTGACCTGCACCAACAATACCTAGTGGCAAAAGGAATCATCATGGGACAAGACCAGTGGGAGGGCAGACAACAATTATGGTTGCAATTGCAGTCGAACATAAGACATAAGATACATAGGACCCACTGCCGGGCGAAAATAGGAAAAGCACCCTCGGGGGTAATGAATGCAATGGGTACAGTAACTACAGTTCGTGAATTAAAAGCCTTCAAAAAAAAAAAAAAAAAAAAAAAAAAGCCTTGCACTGGAGCTAACCACAGAATTCAGCATCAATCCAAGAAAATCTACAGCATCAGGGTCACAAGGCCGTACGTACTGAGGTCCACGGGCCGACCTCCGTACGTACGGGCGTTCGGGGTGGTCCCATTCAGGGTCCGAACCCGAAGGCGTTCGGCCCCAGCCAAAAATTATTTCAGGGCCTAAACATAAGTTTTTTTTTTTTTTTTTTTCTGAATTGTTTTTTGGTGAGTTCTCTATGGTGTGAGGTACATGCCTATAAATTTTGAAGTCATTTTGCTAGGCCAAACAAAAATTAAAACTCGCCAAAGATGGCGGTGTCAAAACGTGCTCTCCCACTCACTATTTTATTTTATTTTTCCACTATTTACTTTTTGTTTTCACTTTATTGCGGGGCCTAAACAATTTTATTATTTTTTGAAACTTTTTTAACGAGTTTTGTATTATGTGAAGTACACATCAGTAAATTTTCAGCGCATTTGGCTATGCCAAAAAAAACATGAAAAATCGCCAAAGATGGCGGTGTCGAAAACGTGCTTGCTCACTCACTACAGACGGTTGACCAAAACGAGAAACCGGGCGACCAAATCGGTTGCAGTGCCGTTGCACACAACAGTTGCAAAATTTACTCAGACTAGTATACTACAAACGGGGGACCAAAACGAGAAAGCGGAAGACGAGAAACGCGAAGCGAGGAGGAGGAGGAGGAGGAGGAGGAGGAGGAGGAGGAGGAGAGATGGGAACACGAGGTGGACAGAGACCATGGACAGGGAACATGAGGCGGAGAAAGACTATGGACAGGGAACATGAGGCGCAGAAAGGATGCTAAGGACAGGAACCATGAGGCAAACACACAAAAAAGACTGACAAGGAGGACAGAAGAACGTAGCCTTCCTCCGCCTCCTTTTCCCTGTCCTTCGCCTTTGTCCGGGAACATAGACACCATACGAGGACAAAGTCACAAAGGAATCGGCACAAGATACTTAGGCATTGAAGACAGTTTAGCTGCAAGGGTGAGGAGGAGCCTGACAGAGGAGAGGAGAAGCTAAGGTAAGGTAAGGTAAGACTTGGGGCATGGTCACCACTCTCCAAATGTGAAAAAATGAGAATGAACTTCCCGCTAGGACATGGCCAGATGCACCCCCCACATTTTTGTCTTTTTCAAATTTTAACAGTGGTATGGCGAGGCCCTTACTTGAGTTTTTGGCGAAAAAGGACAGAACAAAAGGAAGAGAGAAAAAAAGGATCCGTACCGAAGGACCTAGCTCAGTTGATATATGCCCATGAACTGATGAAATCCAGAATCAAGTTCGAATCCAGATACGATCAGATGAGGATAGCAAAATCATTTTCTCAATAACTTGGGTGCAGCCAGCGCAATGAGGATATCCCAACACCGTGGCCCTTGTTTAGGGGRGRGGGRGGGGGGGGGGGGGGGGGGACCCGGATCGGTGGAAGGCAACATCGAAAGGTATCATCAGGAGTAACAAACGACCAGGAGGGTGCGCAGAGAGAAGGTGGCTTGGGGCCAAGTCCCACTAGCAGCGTTGAGCTACCTCAACACCTGAATCTGGACGCTTTTGGGGCGATGTGCACAAATGGTGTTGAGTTTCCTGAACTGCACGTCTCCACAAACACGTCCAGATTCAGGCATTGAGGTAGCTCAACGCTGCTAGTGGGACTTGGCCCCTGGATGGAAGAGAGGCCAAGGAAGAGGGGGGGGGCGGGTGAAGAAAGGCGCTGGAGAGGCCGAGGGCACAAGGGCGAGCCAAGGGAAGACTCAAAAAAAGTGGGGAACACAAAATTACAAAGTATGATATAATAATTACAAAAGAAAAAAAAGAAAAAAACAGAAAATGGGAAGGGATTTAAACCACCCGCACTTACTGAAGTCATGCCCGTCAACAAGCCACAATTTTAGGAAATGTACAGGCCTCTACACGAGCGCCCAAATTCATCTGACTAGAAACGTTTCTACTCTTTTTTTTTTTTTTTTTTTTCCGTGGCCGCCACTTAGCCTTATGGTTAGGTGTTTGCCTGCCGAGCCGGTGGTTGTGTGTTCGAGTCTTGTATTCGGATTACACATTACACGCTGGCTAGGCCACAAGTACTGGTGGTTTAAGGAACCAAAAAACAAGAAGACAAAACAAAAACGAGGGTTGTTTGCACACCCATTGGAAGGGAGACGGACACGGCCGTCTCCTACGCACCACAAATGGCATCTCGGTCACGATGCCGGCCGGAAGCATCCGTGTCGGATGCGCGCCCTCAATGGCAAGCTCAAGCCTGGGTGAAGCAAAAAGCAAGCAAGCAGAGACTCGTCAAATATCCAAACACCGTGATCGATTTTTTTCTAATGTCCAAACCCTGAATCAAATCCAGGGTCAACATAACGAGACTGAAGTCAAGCCCTCACTGGCCTGACTGGGTGAGAAGGTGGAAACTCTCATCGGTGACATCGGATACTTACGGGGCGAAATCCGCCCCCCGGAGGCGGAAGACGGTACCCTGTGGACAAGGTGCACCGTCCGCGGTCTGGAGATCGACCGCGAAGGGTGAGACGGTTCTACAATGTCGTCTATAGCCCCCTCCGCGGTCAAAGTCAACCCCTTTTTCCAAATCCTCAGCTAGTTCACAAAAGCGGGGAAAAGAAGAACTAGTTTGCAACGGCATATATCTGACACTTGGAACAGGATGAAGAGGTTTCCCCCCCCCCCCCCCTTCTCTCCCCCTTTTCTAAAGAGCTGCGCAGTCAATCCTCTGGATTCCAGAGTAATTAATGGTGGCAGGGGTTCTCCAAATCTATTCTGTATATGGGATGCTGGACCGGCGTTCCAGCAGATGATGCTTCCCATCAATAGACGGAGCCTCCCCACAGGTGCTAGTGGTGCCTGCTCTTACCAGCACCTCTAGCACCAAAGGAGGCGTTTTTTGTATTTAAAAAAATGAAAAAAAAAAGAAAAAAAAGAAAAAAAGAGAAGCCTGGGTCAGAACAGAAGGTGATCGATTTTGTAATGTCCACTACAGTAACTACCTTTCAGTCAAATTTCGGAGGTTAAGAGTTGTAAAGTAACCTACATGGCATTTTTCACGGCCGCGCCTCCGTTGCTAAATTTCATTGGCGGCACCCGGCCTCCGAAATTTGACTTGCGAGGGCTGAGGCCGATAAACGGGAATTGTAGTGGTCCTTTAAAGAAGAAGAAGAAAAAAAAAAAGCAGAAGCCAGCCTCCACCTCCACCTCCACCTGCTACTGAACATGGACCCTCACTTTTTGTGCCCAAGCAAGCTGGGACTTGGTCATTGATAACCGGTGACAAGTTAGTTGTTCAGCAGAGGAACGCCACATTCCTCGCTCTCTCTCTCCCCCTCATCGTGCCTACCTTACCCCACCCTAGCAGCACGTCATCCTTTTCTACCAAATTAACATCCATTAGGCTTCCCGTATAAGCTTCCCGTATAATGCTATAACACCTATTCCTACACTATTCTGAGACTTTTTAAAAGTTTTTTATCATTCCTTTCGATGCATTGACGGCAGCGCGTCATCCTTTTCTACCAAATTAACATCCATTAGGATAATAATAATAATAATAATAATAATAATAATAATAACATCAAACAACTCAACTTCAACAGCCCCGCTCTTCGCCCATTCACCCTAGCAGAGCCCGAATTGCGCACCATGAAGGCGCTCCTGTTTCCTCCTGCCAACATCAAGGGTGTCCCCCGTATCCCTGTCCCCCTCCGCGCTGACCAGGCCAAGATTGCATCAGACTACTACAGGCCAAGACTTTCTCTTCCTCTTCTTCTCGCCTCTCATTTGCGTCTCACTCTGGCTTTGGTCGTGTCGATTGCTGTTAGCTGATGTACTTTCATACTGTTGAAGTTAGCTCTGCATCAGACTACTACAGGCCAAGACTGCTATAAGAATAAATACCCGGTCGTTCCGCCCTGATCTTGACGTGTCAGCAGCATAAGGCAACAGGTCTGATACAAACAAATACCCTGTTTTTTAAGCTCTGCTCTACTACTCTTGTCCCTGAAAAAGAGCGGAAAAATGCCTATATAATATATATGGGCAGACTCCATGCTGATTCCTATAGGCATTCACTGTTGTTGACTATTGGTCTGAAGCTGAGTATAGATTTTCATCCTCGTTCCAGCGCGCATATGGCTTTTCCAAGTCGCCATGATCCTCCACCCTTGGATACGATCTGATAGGAAACCACGGTGGAGATTCCAGAGAAGCCCTTCGGTCGACAAGACCTCCTCATACATCACGCCCCCGGCCGTAGTAACTTGCTGTGGTTAAAAAAAAAAAAAAAAGGAGGAGGAGGAGGAGGAGGAGAAGAAGGAAGAAGAAGAAGAAGAAGAAGAAGAAGAAATTGCGTGAGGGAGTAGATGATGTATTATTTCATTCCGACTTGCCGGTGGAATAGGAACTGGACTGACGGTCCCCAGAATGGATATGGAGCCAGGACCCCCCATAAGGACCTGTTAAAAAAAAAAAAAGAAAGGGGGAGGGAAGAAGAAGAGGAAAAGGGAAGGGGGAAGAGGAGAAGAAGAAAAGAAAAGAAAAGTAGAAAGATCTGACGAGAAGCCATGGCTGCCGTTCGGCATACACGAAGGGAAAAAAAAAAAAAAAAAAAAAAGATCGGACGGGAAGCCAACAACGACGAGAACGAAGATTGCAAAATGCTTTTATTCACTGTGGAATTGAATTCCAGGCATACTCAATATATTGGTTGCATGCTGCGACATTTCTAAACCTGAACGGCTGCGCTCTGTTGTCACAAACGACTGGATACGAAAACTTCAAACTAAGTTTAACTAACAGGGAAAAAAAAAAAAAAGACAAAAAAACACACTAGTCCCTCGGACTCCCTCCCTCCCTCCTCCGTCAATATTGAGACATTGTACCTGACCTGAATGAAGACTCATAAGCTTCACAGTGAGGGCTTCATGTTGAGACCAGCAGCATTGACAGCCCTTGTGGCAGTCGCGAATTGTATGGCGGAGGGCCGCCGGAGGGAATGCATCAGCGCCAAAGCAATTGTGAAGAGGGTCAGAGCGCCAGCTTGATGCGCGGTTCCCAGCGAAGCGGGGACATAGGTGAGGAGGGTCGTGATCCCGAGCGTCACCTGCAGGGGCCGCCAATCATCAGCAAATTCTAAATTAAAAAAAAAAAAAAGCAGAAGAATTGAAACAAATGACACAAAATTCTGGTTGCTCCCGAGCCGTGTGCATATCCCATCAATGCATTTTTTTTTTTTTTTTTTTTTTTTAGTAGAGGAATTGAAACAAATGACGCAAAATTCTGAAAGTGTGGAGCTGTGCAGGCACCGTAGACCTCGCCAGGGCCACACACAGAGATATTCAACACGCATCTATTGATCGAGGAGGAAGCGGACTCATAACTGGGGTTTTTTAATGCACAACTGGGAACAGCAGGCCAGACTATAACCTGATTTTTCCATTTTAAAGCATAGTGAAAAGACTCCAAATGGAGTCAAAAACCTAATTAGGAAAAAAACTGACACAAATCCAACAATGCTGATTTATTCTTCACCCCCCAAGTATAATCACTGATGCTTCACATTGCTTCAAAAATAGGCCATGGACTTGGACTTGGACTTGGGATCAATTAAATGATAAGGATGATTTAAAAAAAAAAAAAAAGATAAGGATGATTTTGAGAACACATTGCTTCCCTCCTTTGTTTTTAGTCCAATTTATTAGACACGCAAGAAACATAATCATCCCAATTTCGAAATTGAAAAAAAATGATTCCAAACCAAAATAGAAAATTCCAAATGGATTAAAAAAATAGTAAAATACTCTCTCACTGCATGACGAGGGTAATGAATGCGCTGCCTTTGTCCTTCGGGACATCCCTTAAAAGTGGAACGATACAGAGACTGACTGAAGATTAGCATGCCCCCCCTGCGCAAGTAAGGATGACACACATAAATCCAGAAATGGTCCAATTTTTTTTTCTTTAACCAAAAAAAAAAAAAGAAAAAACCGAATGCGCTACCTTTGCCTGTATGTAGGAATGTATGTTTGCATCCAAGCAGTTATGTCTGCTGTGTTTTTTTTTTTTTCAAAACAACACAAGGCCCCTCCTATTCTGAGGGGGCAACAGTCCCCGGTTGCTTATCACCGGCAAGCATGTTTGTACATCCAAGGGAGGCGGGAAATCTCCCCGTCTGGTTTTTTTTTNATGGTGTGTTCACTGTGTTGGCATCGGATGCTATTGAAAGTCGAAAATTTGAAACACGACTGAAGACGGTCAAAAGGTTTGCAATTTTGAATGGCATGTCACCACCAGCATTTTTTTTTTTTTTGGATTTGTATCTACTTGCCAGTGGACAGAAGGTGCATCTGTTCATAACTTCATGTTTTATTCGTGAATGGTCATGGAAAAAATGGACGTACCTGGAGCATTGTCACACCGAGGAGAGACTGAACCAGCAGCTGTGAGGTGGGTGGTAGAGGAAGTCTTCTCGTAGTCGCCCAGAGTGCAACCACCCCAGCTGTCGTAGCATATGCCAGCATGCGATGCTGAAACTGCATAGCAAGGGGAGCACGATATGGACACATCAGTACTCAACAACTTGGAAAACACAAAAAAAAAAAAAAAAAAAAAAAAAAAAAAAAGTTTTTTTGTTTTTTTGCACAAACTCCCGTGTCTTTAAACTACTATAAACTTCATGGACTTGGAATTTGGGCCCTATAGTCAGTCTCCCCTCTTTCTGTCTTCAGCCCCCGAAGCGGTGGAATACTTCAGCATCTGAACTTGGAAAACTGTGAAGCGAGGGGAGCAAACATGACACAGTACTACAACTGTGAAACATCAAGAAATGATAGTCTTCGTGTCTATATAATATATATCGTCACAAACAGAACTGCCCGGTAAACCGTAGGCAGAGAGAGAGAAGAGGACAACAAACGAGGGGCTGTGACAAACTGTTTCGTCGGAGTTTCACCGACTCATCAGTATATAGTTCAATGGATGGATTGGGGCTTCAGAGAGGTACCTGTGGTAGCCTAACGTCTTTTTAAGAGGCTAGAAGGGTGATGTACGCAGGCAAGTGCCCGGCTATGCAGATCACACGAGAAGAGCCGAAAATAGTAATCACATACTAACTATTTAGTTTGATGGTTTCAATCCGCACTCCAACTGCCAGTTGACAGAGAGTAGCTTGCACATTATATTTGTGGCATTCAGGGCGAGCGGCCGTACTTTTTTGTGGTTTCCTGCTGATCGAACATTGCTTATGCTGAGGGAAAGTAAAGGAAACTTAGGAAAGACAGTCTCCGGTCGCAGTCAGAGAGAGAATTCAAAGCCGCAGAATCAGAGATGCAACGTACCTGGACTGTTGCTGTGTTCTCAAAAAAGTTGCGCAGCATTGGTTGCATTTGCAGCATCCCCTCCGGAACCCAGTGCTCCCCCATCATCGGGAACGTGTTGAAGGCGCGTCCCTGCCGCACATCCATCGCGAATGCCATACATACCACCAAAACACACCCATCAAACCACATGCCGCAATGATGCCACAGAGAACATGCACCAAAGCAAAGATGATATACCGATTAAGCTGACAGGCAATAGCGACTGCTGCGGGACGAGAGAAACCCACCGGGCAGATTGATTGATTTCGCACTTCTCTTTTCTTTTCCCGCAGTTCTTTTGCCAAATCTTGGCAGCTCAGAAACCCATGCCACCACAGACTACGCTTGATTTTTACTACTAGAGTTTTCACCTCATGGCTAGCGCCCGCATTGGTCTTCTCCATGGGCAAGTGCAGCAAGTCAGAGAAACAAAAGGGGGATGCCCACCGCAGCCGACGCCCACCGCCATCGATAAATCTCGTCGGTGGCCGTTGTTTCGTTTCGGCCTCCTAAGCGATCGGGTGCCCCCCACCGTGAAAACAAGGCCCGGGTTTGGGTCTGTCACCTGAGATGTGCATTCTAAGGGAGGTGTTTTGAGCTGCATTCCAGTCTCCTGCTAAGATCTGCTTTTCGTTGGCTACTCCTTTGGACTAATCCTGCAATAGTTTTATTTTCTTTGTTTTGTTTTTCCTTATTATGGCCCTGGCTCCATAATGAGTCCATATCCATTGCCCGGAGCGTCACTCCGGTCGGTTCCTATTCCACCGGCAAGTCAGCGAGTTACAACACACAACAACACCCTCATGCTTCCTTGCGCTCGGCCGAAGGACCCCTGATCAGCATTGATTGCTCCACATGCCGGGACGATTGACTGTCAGCTTGCCTGCCTTCTACCTCTCCTCTCAGGTCTGTCCTTTGTACATCATGAGCATTCAATCGGACGAACCTGCCAGATTTTTACGCGAAGAACAAGAAAGGATGTCCTTTGTGCATCATGATCTCCTCATCATGATCATACAGGTTGTCCAGCCGCCATCTCCTCATTTGCAAGGGGAGGGTAAGCTCCAAATTCAGTCCACCTGCCTTCATTCCTATCAGGGCATACTCACACCAGGAATTCCTTGGATGTATCTGACAGGAATTACAGCTTGGACGTGGACGCACTCTGACCGCATCCAGAGATCAATTGGAAGATGTGCTACCGTCTTCGGGTGGGTGGAGACGGTAGCGTGAGTGCACCCTCCGTCTGAATGGCAATTTTTTTGTGGCCTGCAAAAGAATTGCAATGAGATGGCTGAACGTTTGTGCCAAGGAGATGGCTGTTCATGCTGAGCCTGTACTTTTTTGTGTGGGCCCAGCCGCCCGGGTCACTTTTCTCGCATATTTACGTGTTCTATACCGCTTATCCCTTAATCTTTTGGCAGCAGTCCGCTTTGCTCTGCAAATCAATGTCTTGTAAGCAAAAAGATTATGTCTTACTCAGTCTGCCAAACCAGCCCACTTGCAGCGAGATGTTCGTCCACTTTTCCAGTTTTCAAAAAACAAAAGATGGTAGGCAAACCATTACCATCTCAAGAAAATAGTTCAAGAATCAAAATACCAAAGTTCATTTCTGCTTGATTGGTTAAAGTAACTATGTAGTATGTAACAAAAAAAAAAAAAAAAAAAAAAAAGTATGTACCTTTCGGTGTGTTTTCTAAGGGTTGGTAGATACCATCGATGGTATTCGGAGGGTTGTTCGATAGTCTTCATATTTTGGCTGAATAGTCTCTTATTGTCCGCTACGTACGCCCCTCCATGTCTTGCAGCTGTTGTAGAGTCCCCCGGGTACATCTAGGAGCATTAGATTCAGGATCTAGTTTCGATGTCTTCTGTGCAAACTCTCTTGTTCTCTGTCTTCCGGATTCTCCTCTACCTCCTCTCGTCGTCTTCTCTTGAAGCTCTTCTTTGAGGTACAGAGTGAACATGCTGACTCCACCCCTTTCGGAAGGAATCATTCCCTTTTTTCATTCTCCTGTCCACTGCAGTGGACCATATAACATAGGATCCTCGGAGGCTTCCAGATTAATCCCTTCCTAAGTTCTGCAGGCAGTCTTGCTGAAACAACATCACTACCAGTCTCAGGTTTTTTAATTTTTGGTTTCGAAGCATTCATCACAACGAGTAGAATCCTCCTAGGCTAAATGCATACGCAACCATATAAGATAAGAAAGACCAGCATTGCACTATATACTATATAGTATATACACTATTATACAGTATTAATAATTATACACAAAAACAACACATTTATGGATCGCATGTATACTCATGCTGTGGCGCCATCTCTCTCTCTCTCTCTCTCTCTCTCTCTCTCTCTCTCTCTCTCTCTCTCTCTCTCTCTCTCTNTCTCTCTCTCTCTCTCTCTCTCTCTCTCTCTCTCTCTCTCTCTCTCTCTCTCTCTCTCTGTGGTTGAAGATATAGCAACCCCTTCTGCATCTTCCCATTTGATCTTGACATCCTTCTCCTCTCCCACCTTGAAAACGGCTTTGGGTGCAGTTGCTGTGATGGTTTCTAATACAAATTCCCTCCGCTCTCCGTTTGTCGGCTTGTGCAGGACTTCGAGACTTGGTGAAAAATCACCGACTTGCCACCCCATTCTTTTTTTTCCCCTGCTGATAGTGGAATGGCGACAACAGCACCGTTCAGCTTTCCTTGTTCTGAGCATCTAGAATGGCTACCACCTTGGCTTCCTCCGGCAATCCTACAATTTGCTTGACGTTTAGCTTTTCCCTCCTCTAGATGTCTATTGAAGGTAATTGAACTCTATTTTATTCCTGCAGGACCCTGTTCTGTTCTGTTTGTGTCTCTCCTACTCTCTCTAATACTTCCACCGGTCTCTTATGATCCAGAATTTTCTCTTTGTTTTCTGTTTGCTAAACTTTCCTGGTCTCTTCTCTCTGAAACCCTTGATACCTTGCTCATTGCTTAATCATTGCCTCCAAGCGCGAAATCCAATATCTGAAATCGCAATTCAATCGCTCCCTCCAGGGCTGTTTTCCTTCTCCCCTCGTCTGGTTTTCCTGATGGGCTTCTGGGTGCAGGACGACGGACGGACACTTTTTCTTCTGTTCGCAGGAAAACCCTGAAGTCATATCTGGTATTGATTGGCCGGCCCTCGATTGCACTCCACTCATCCCGAGCACCTTGTACGTATTGATTGGCGAGGAACTCGGCTATTTCAGGCTCCTCCTCGACGAACCACGAATGGACTGGCTGCTAGGGGAGAAAACCAGTCAACTGTTCGTCGGTCTGGGTGGGCCAACTGATTTTTTTGGGTATTTTGCCCGAGGCATTCGCTCAGGTGATCTGTTGGTGGTCTGTTTTGATTTCTTCTTGAGCGACGCGGTTCGTGCGGGGTCGAGTCCGTCACTCGAGGTCGGTTGACGACTCACTCAGGCTTTGAACCTGTGTCAGTCAAAAAATCCCTCAGATTGAACTCATGCTCTCTTCCGCAATGTAAGGCCGCGATGTTGATGTCATCCTGCAACCACCACAGGGCAGTTCCTGTATCCGCACCCTGCAAAACTACCTACCCTGTCCATGGTGGAACGACTTCTCCACATTTGCTTGGTCCTCCCTCTCTACTTTCTCTCCCCTCCCCATTCCCCTTCCTCCCTGCAATCATTGACTGATTTCTTTCACCTTCTTCCGTCTCAAAAGACTCTCAATCTCTTTCTTCCCCTGCTGCTTCTCCGATCATCAGTCCTTTTTTTTTGTCTACTTAGATGTCCGTTGGCCGTTCTCCTTTACAATTTCCTTCTTACCCCTTTCGAAACCCCTTCCCCTTCTCTCTTGGCCCCTCTCCTTCACCCTGATCTCCGAGCTCCCTCAGCGCCTTCGCCTTTCTTTTGCCTGCACTCTTGTTCGCGACTCGTGGCTTCCTCCCCAAATTTCTTACCCCTTCCGAAACCCTTTCCCCCTCTCTCTTGGCTCCCTCCATGTTTTTCCCTCTGCCAGACTCTGAAAAGGATTTGTTTCGTCTCTTCAACGTTGTCTGCACTGCAAATAGGAACACTTCATGTACACGTATTATCCTCTTCGGTGGTCATTCCTCTTGCCTCCTCCTCCTCCTCCTCCTCCTCCTCCTTTTTCACCTCCCTCCATCTACTTCCCACTCCGGTAGTGGGAAGATCGTGGGTCTCTTCACTGGTTTGCGCCCATATTCAAGCAGGGTGTTCCGTATTCTCATTCGAAGACCGAATCTGGGTAGGATGGGTCCTTGATGATCTAGTAAAATATCATCTACAGCATGAACTTGTCGGATATTGACGGTAGGTTTCTGGTGTTATAGGCATTTTGTAGATGGCTCTCCAACCCCTCAAAGGCTCAAACCTCTCAAAAAATTTAGTGTAGAATAAAGGCCAGGCCGCACTGGTTTGACGTTCGTGGCGTGCTGGGACGAATATGCCCAGTTTTACAACCAGGTTCGTGCTTTCTATGCACGAAATGCGGCACCTGTGGCGCCTGACCCTAAGCTATCAGTATCAAAGTATATGAACGTCCTAGAATTTCCTCCTCACACTGTTCAGGTGGTGCAAAACAGACAACGACTTACTGAAGTTACTGCGGTAAAAGAACTCATTTATGTCCTCTGACGCTTGCACATACTGAGCGATTCTTCTTGATGGGATAGGATCATAGGGATGGTAGAAGCAGAGAGAGGACGTACCGCATCGTTTCCAGCAACAAAAGCGCCGGAGATCGCTGTGATTCCGATGACGGCACAGAGAGGCAGAGCGAGCCTTCTCGTCTTCAACAGTGCTGCACTTGCTATTGGCGACAGACTTGCAGCCACGGCTGGCGACGCAACAGACAGACCTGTCCAAATCAAACCTGAATAGATGGAAAATGCCACTGTAAGGTGTGCAGCCAATCGATATGGACTCACGCGCGGCTCCTTCCACTCTGTCTCTGGCTCCTGCACACATTACAGGGAAAGCAATTGTTCATTTGGTACCGATAAATGCCACAAAGTAAGAAAACTGGAGAGTACTTCTAACCATACTTGCAAGCGGACGCCGTCCAGGCGGGGTTCCGCACGTGCGACAGACCGCCGGACCGGACCCGCGCGGCGCACGAATGTGCGCCCGACGACCAGTTACGCCCCACCCCCCCGAAAAAAGAAAAAAAATGCCCCCGTCCGGTCCGGTCCGGGGGGAGGGTGCCGCACGCGGCAAAGCTGACCGGACCGGACGCTCGTCCAGTCCGTCTGCTTGCAAGTATGCTTCTAACTTTTACCAAAGGATCCAGAATTCTGGCCTTCTAGGACTCAGATGCCTTGCTTACGGGGAAACAAAGTGCTGCCAAACCTGCTGACACTAGGACTCAGATCCTGAGAGGAGAGGTAGAAGGCACAAAGGATACAAAGTGTTGCCAAACCTCTTGAGTCCTGACACTAACAATAGTAACAAAAGAAAAAAAAGAAAAAGAAAAAATAAACTGCACAGTCTGTGCTGACATATTGCGAGGAAAAGAACAGGAAAAAAAAACAAAACAGTGACTTATGTACCAAAACAGTGATGTCACATCAGGTGCCTTGTTTACGGGGAGAGGAGCTGAGCACCACACAAAGCTGTCACCGTAAAACTAGTTCTGCACAACAGAAAGAGAGAGAAAGGGGAGGAGGGAAAGGGGGGGGGGACCAGAAGTAGAAGGCTGCAAGAGATGGTGAATGGTGAGCTGCAAATGGATTTAGATTGGTCTAGCAGTTAGTATCAAAACATGCAAAGGACAGCATGGTCACACAGAATAGATTGCGTACCTCGAGCCCACTCTTTACCATCCACCAACCAACGAGCCCCTGACCGCCTCCTGCTCCAAACAAGAGTGCTAGACGTGCTCCGAGGGGCTTTGTAATATATCCCTTCTTCAGAAAGAATGCACAAGGAAGAGCAAAGAAGAACCCTAGGCCACGACCCCACATCCTGTGGATATATTCCATGTAGAATATGAACTTGAAATCCTCAACACTCATCCATCGGTGCACCCTGCGAAATCAAAACCAGACGGTCCACAAATGACTTAGAATATCAAAGCAGCTTTCCCTCCCAGAAACAAAACGGCAGTAGACAACATGTATACGGCAAAGTGCTCTCTCTCTCTCTCTCTCTCTCTCTCTCTCTCCATCTACCCATCTATCCATCCATTCTATCGACCCATCCAATATATTAATCCATCAAACCTGTGCATCGCACTCCATCACATCCCATTGTGTCCCATCATATCCCTCCACTCGCCAGAGCTCAGATGAAAGAGGCGAATAACGGGAGTTGAACCCGTGTTTTCAAATTCACAATCTGACCCATCAAGTTACATTCGCCGTGGTCCCGACTCGCTTGAACTGACGGAGTGTTTTATACTTCTAGTCTGTCGGGTTTACCATTTTCACCAAGCGAGTATGCTCACACCATCCATCCATGCATCCATCCATCTATCTAATCTATCCAATCTCGATTATGATACTCGTCCATTTATCTCCTGCATGAGAGAGAGAGAGAGAGAGAGAGAGAGAGAGAGAGAGAGAGAGAGAGACAGAGAGAGAGAGAGAGAGACAGACAGACAGACAGACAGAGACAGAGACAGAGACAGAGACAGAGACAGAGACAGAGACAAAGCAGAGAGACAGACAAAGAGAGAGAAAGAGGACACCTAAGAACTCGCACGACTGTTCAGGTCGGTCAATATTTATGCTCTGGTTCGTTCCGTATTTAACATTCTTATCATTGATTCTATATTAACAACACTCCTGCTCAGAAGAACAACAAACTCCTTTTCAGTTCTCTTGCAGGCCAAATGTCAAGAGCCTCTGTTGTTAATCCTCAAAGCAGTGTTGCATACCCTGATGGTCGTCAGCATCTGACCGGTCGGCTGGTCGCCACCTACCAATCGGGGGTCGTCGGCACCCCACAATTTTTATTTTTATTTTATTTTCTTGGGCCCAGAACCCCCAATTACCCCACCAACACCCCCATACCCGCCCCCAATACCCCCATACACCCCCTCCAAACCCCCAAACCGCCCCCTAACACCATCATACCCTCCCAACACCCCCTATACCMCCCGTATACCCCCCTATACCTCCCCTATACCAACCCCCCCCCAAACCGCCCCATACCCCCCCCAATCCCCAAAAGTTTCTCAGCGGATTTGGGCTGTACTCAGCAAGCGCAGTACAGCCCCCAACTCAGATTTGACAAAAAATCAGTGGATGGCTGTTTTCTGACTGGTCGGCAGACCGCCGACCCGTCGGCCCTACTGGTCGGCTGCAATACGGTCGGCGTTCGGGGTCGGTGATCGGCAGCTATGCAACCCTGCCTCAACGTGTAAACACTGTGGAATTCATTTGTCAAACTCCAGCAAACACAGCTTTCTGAAGCCATCACCCCTGCCTTAACCCTTGGGTTCACGTTCTCACCTTTTGTACTCAGGAGACTGTTTGTACCTCTCGAACTCCTTCTCCCATTCTGCTTCATTTATTGGTGGGAGTGAACCAGTGAACTTCCAGTCCGTCATCGACAATCCCGACCTTGTCAATCGTGTTGCTCCTCCCAAGACCACCATGCTGAAGACCCATCCGGCGCATCCAAAAAGCCACATCGACACCTGCTTCTGAGCTGCAGGACCTGCAGTCACCAATGCCCGAGCGCCTTGGATAGCCGTCGATCCGGCAGCAGCCGCTGCGCCAGTTGTTGTTGTTGACATGACCCTTTGGCTCTGTAAGAAAGAAGGACACAACGAAGAGGAAGTCGCATAAACATACGGCATCACGAGTCATGACACGTAGGATCCAGAAGGTTTTTCCGCTTCGATTCTCCTCTTTTCGTCCCACAATGAGGGGCCCCTATATCATCGTAATGCCGATTTGTAAACTTTACAGAAATTTGCTTCTGTACCTCATCTAAAGATGGGAATACCCGCTATACCCAGTCCAGCACCCGACTTGCATATATAGTATATACCCAGACACTGTCCAACTTAAGGTAATAAATACCCTACTTTTCCCATGCGGCAACGTATACGCGTACCCAGTCCCACAAGCCCTTGGTTGGGGAGCACAAAATTATGTTTATGCCCAGGAACCGGGCAGGCAAAATTGGGTATGCACATAATAATTTGCCCGGGCATGAGCGTAAGCTCAGCATTCCGGTAGTTAGGTCACTCGTGGTTAATAGGTGGTGTCATTTTCGCCGAATTTTCCCCCGAAACTAACTGCAATTTGGCGGTACCAACGTTTCCCCACCTCCGTGCTGGGTATGCAAATAATTTGCGCAGACCATTTCCCCGCTACAGATGCAAGTTGGGTGCTCAGACTGGGTTGTGGAGGGTATTCCCATCGTCTTTAAATGGGGTACAGAATCTACGGATGCAATTTTCCCTGAACTTTCTAAATTACAGTCTGTCTAGCAACCGTTACACACGTGTACCATTCAGTCAACAAGCCAGGTATCACAAGCGCAGATGATCAGCCAGGTGAAAGAATCTGCATACTCAGACGATCATTGCCTGACAACGCAAACTCTTTCCCTGTCCTGATTACAAACTTACACATAGATTGAGGTATATACATGTTGCTGCCGTGCTACATATTGACCAAAGAGCTGCCTGTTCTTTGGTGTGATTCGTGTCAAGGGTTTTGAAGTTCGCAGTTTGAATTGCTACCATTCAACCGTATTGTTCCGAGGCATTTTCTTTTCTCAAGCACAAATCCTGCATTCCATAAATGAAGGCATATGAAAAAAAAAAAACAAAAAAAAAAAAACAGAATTTGATCCTGGTTCAGAATGAAATTCAATGAATGCTAGCAATAGGATTATTACAGACGTCTGACGTTGTAGTATCATTATACACATGCAAGTCGAACGTTGTTTTCCCTGGTTATGACAAAGTGGCGACCAGGTGCATAACGCGTGGGAATCTACAAAACAGTTTGGGAAAAAATAAGTACACACTTTAAGACACAATCCTGTAATGATGGCAACTGGCATGAGCGGGGAAAAAAAAAAAAAAAAAAGAGTTTTGGCATCAGAACGGGTTTGTTAAGCAGGAGGTCTCCAGAGAGTCTCACTCTTGTTTAGTAGGAGGATCACTGCGAGCACGCCATTTCATTTCCATATTTTCGCCTCATTCCCCAGACATTGGATCAGCTTAACTCTCTTCCTTTTGTTTTGCTTGTCCAACCATTTGCGGTTCAGTGTTTCTCTTGAATCGTGCACGTCATCCTTGCAAAGAGGTCATGCTAATATGCTTTCCGAATCGTTCCAAACTTTTTTTTTTTTTTTTTTTTTTAGGCCCTTGAGCAAGGCCTCTATCCCAGTGGSGGTAAGAGAACCACCGGGATTTAGGCTTTGTAAACGGGCCGCTCCATCTAGTGGTGGGGAGCATCACCTGCTGGAAACCGGGTCCAGCGTCCCTTTTAAGAAAACCATGAGACGAATCGTTCCAACCTTAAACCACCAGTACACCACACATCAGCCGCGGGTGTCATGCTGACACCGGTACCCACTTCGGAGGCCGCCAATTTTTTTATTCTTTTTTCTACGGCACCCCACCCCGCCCCACCCGGCCCTGGAATCTGAACTTGGTGACGACGACATCTTTCTGCAACGCTGGGGCCGTGTACTGGTGATTTTTTTTTACGGATGTCTTTACACTTCAACAATAGTAGTGCATGTCGATACGTTGATCCCTGGAATTGATAGTGACACAGCTTGGAATCGAGATCGTTGTGCTATGGCATGACATGATTGTGCAGATTGAGGTCAGAAATGGAATCCAGCATTTTCACATCCTACAATAGTACCTAGCTAGATACTCGGACTTGTGGTTCGTTCCTTTGGCAAATAGTCTGACTAGATCGACAATCGATCAAATCTGGGTATGTACTATGTACATTGGACAACACTGCAGTGAATTCAGCTGCAGGTTCCCCTACGGCGACCTAGTTACAACTTTTCACCTCCGGCACTGATTCTACTGTGCCCACCGCCCATGTCGGATGGCTCCATCCAAGTGAAAAAAATCAAAGGTAAAATTAAATGGAGAAAAATGAACCACCACAACAGCAGAAAAAAATGCACAACAACGACAGTGGCAAACAAGACGCGACTCCTTGGAACTTTTCTCGCACGAGGTTGAGATACTACTAGAAAGTAAGAATTGTATGATGACAATAGTCGAAATACGTGAGCAGCAACCAGTTCAGAGAGCAGGAGAGTGAAAAATTGAAAGTTCATGCATGCAGGATTCCCACATCTCAGTCACAAGGTTGCCAACTTGTTCATCCTTTCCTTTCTTCCAAACCCACCCCCCGCCCCCCCCAAAAAAAACACAAGGCTCCATTTATTCTGGGGGCCATCAGTCCCTTAACTCCTGTTGCTTGTCAGCAGCAAACATGGACGTCAAGGAAGAAGGAGCAGAAGAAAACAGTGTGGCCTCGTACGGAGACGCGACAAAGGGAGGGAGGGTGGGGGAGGAGGGGGTAAACTGTGCCGTTTCAAACCATTGAAAAGGTGTGAGCAAATGAAGAGGACGAAGGTACGAAGCAGCACAGAAAGAAGGATTTCAAATCTCAGTAGTAAGAACAATGCTTTCGTACCTGTTGTGCCAATAAATTTTGAGGTATCCTTCGACCAGCGCATTGTGCCTGGCCTTGCAAGCCCGGCAGCTCGACGGTCACTTTTTGAATCATGGACCGAGCACCTCTGAGGCCAGCTAATCCCGATATAGCAGCCATTCCTGGTCCACTCCCTCCAAGCTTCTTCCAATCAAGTAACAGAAAAACGTATAGGAAAAAAAAAACGAGAAAAACAGAAAATTCCCTCCACGCCGCACCCTCCCCCCCCAAAAAAACAACATAAAAAAAAGGACACCGAAAACACAACAACAGAAAAACATTAGCATCCCTCATGTGCGTTTGTCAACATCCCCAAACACTCTCTCTCTCTCCCGTTCCATCCACATACCATCACAAGCCATCTGCGAGGACTGAGCCCTGCAAAGGCCCTTCTCGCAAAGTTCTCGGGCATGCAGAAGTGCTGGGCTCAGGCCCCAAGCAACCCTCTTGCCCGCCCTAAGTGAAGGTGGGTTTGAATATCCACGTGAGGCCTATCTCGGACAGTTGCAGCATGCCAGTTGGTTACAGAGCAATGTGAGCCTCTTCAGGTTCCTTCCAGAAGCAGCAGCTGCGCCGTACCAGGGCTCAGGTGGTTGCGCCCTGGGCACACGAGTGTCTCCACATCAGGGAGCTGCTTGGGCACTTGGGCGTGCCTAACTGCACGAGGCCCAGGCCAGGCCAGTATCTGAAACCGGGCCTGGGCGCAGACACAGGGGCCCAACTGGAAGCTACTGGAAACTTGCCCAGCCAGGCCCATCCAGCCAGACACAGGGCCACATTTTCCATAAAGGAAAGTGCCCTGCCCAGGCAGAGGGATTCTGGCCTGAGCAGGCAATGCGGCCACGCTGCTGCTTTGCCGTGCGAAGCTGCGCTAAGCACGCAGGCTGGGGCACACACAGGCGCTTAGAGGTGAGAGGGCGCTGCGGTGGCAGGGGTGCAAGGCGGCCATAGCCAGGCTGCGCATGTGGTGGCAGGTGACGGTGATGGTGGTCTTCGGGTAGGAGGCACATGCAGAGGGGAGACAGGGGGTGATGAGGAGAGGTGTGAGACACGTAGCTGGTGTATGCTGGCAGTCTGCATTGGTCATGACGTCACGTACATTGGTCTTCAACTTCGATGTGCTCCGGTTGCATGAACGTAGATAGGCTAGGTAGGCTGAGTAGTATAGGCTGGGCGCTGGGCGCTGGGCGCCAAACAGTAGGAGCGACATTGGATACAGTGTTGGTGTGGCTAGAGAGCGCCGGCATTGACATTCGAGTTCACTGTATTGCTCTTATTTGGATGGTATCTTGGTGCATTGTGCTTTCTGCTTGGTACATGACTATCTGGACTATTTCGTGATTTTGCAATTTGGATTTCTGTCTATTGCTCTTGCTCATATTGCTTGCACATTCATAAACAAAAGAAGTATAGACGAGCAATATAATAGAAAAAGGTGTGAGGTTCCCCACCTTTGTGTGGTTGAGCGGGAGTGCCGTCGGCCGCCGAAGCAGCACAGTTGCACAAATATATATATATAATTTTTTCTATCTATAAAAACAAATGTAAAGGGCAGAAGGCAACATACCTAACACAGAAGGCTCCAGCAGCAAGAAAGCACAGACCAGATCCCACAAGGAGAGCCCTCCGAGTCAGTCCACAAGCACAGCAGCACTGGCACTCCTATTCCTCCCAACTGAACCACGCACGTCACCACTATCTCTATCACTCCATAGCTAGACAGTCCCCATCTGCTGTCTAGCCTCTTGAGTGTATACAGTACCATAATCCCAAAGAGCACAAAGTCTTCACACTGCCAGTGTGTGCTATTATCTAAACTTCCTATTGCAGCACACACACACACACACAAGACTTGGTGAAAGACCGATGAAACAGTCTGGCACAGTCATGCATTTTTTCGTGGAGTTGTATACAGCAAACATGACAACACAGACACACACACACACACACACACACACGAATGGGACGGGACGGGACCAAACATGAAGGACCCTCACATGAGTCAGTGGAAGTCCGACAAAACGGTCTGCCACAGTCATTCCTTTTTGTGGAGTAGTGTATTGTGTACACACACACACACACACACACACACACACACACACATTGGACCGGCTCCGAATATAACAGACCCTCTTTTTCTTTTCATTTCTTTCTAACTCGCAGTCAGATATTAAACTGACCATAACTTTTACTACACTTGATCTTCGCCAAAAGCTCGAGAAAGGTATTGGACACTCATTTTCGGTTCTACCAAGCGGGGAAGGAAAAAAAGGATGGACCGGGACTTCTACCAAACGGGAAAGAATGAAAAAAGAAGGAAATTGTCTTTCTTGCAACTCCATGATTCGGATTGCGCTTTCTGCAGCCCAAAACACATTTCTGCCGTTTCACTTTTTCGCCTCACTTTTCTGCCGGGTGCCTATTTCACTGGGGCACGAAAACTGGAACTGCACTTTTCTTAAGTTCTCCTTTAATAATAATTAAAAAAAAACTTAAAAAAAGGCCATTGTGTCAAGGACTACCTATGAAACAGTGATAGCAACATTGCCAGTCAGCGCACATTCAGAAGCAGAACAACTCTGACGCCGAAAATGCGACCTTATTGTATGTAGTTTCTAACTTTCTGCCACATAGATGAACACGATCCCACTGAGGTGCGGCACCTAAGCAACCTATCTCAGAACCCATCCGTGCTGATGAGCAGCAGCATGGAGCTGAGGGGCAGAAGGCCAAACTCAGCAACCCTAAAAGGGACCTCACTGAAAGTCATGTGGTACTCCTACTGTAATATCTGACCATGACTACGCTGTTCCTCCATAACAGCAGGGAAAGCAGGAAAGCGGAGAGCACAAGACATCCTCGTCTGCAATGCTATGCTTCATGTCTATGGCCAACGCCTTCCTGATAGAGATTGGGTTCAGGAATAGCAGTTTATACACCTTACAAATGAAAAAAACGTAAAAGCCTCAAAAAAAAAAAAAAAAAAAAAAAAAAAAAAGCATGGTGAAGCCGTGTTCATTCAATGGGTTTGTTACACAACCAGTTTCCATCTGCCATCAACTGTAGGCCTCAAAACATCTGGAACTATGAGGGCCAGGTATGTGAAAACTGATACCATTGTACTATTCACCTGTTGTCGTATCTCCTCTGCTTCTCCATCACCTGCTCCCGTGGCCTAATGGATAAGGCGTCTGACTTCTAATCAGGCGATTGTGGGTTCGAGTCCCACCGGGAGTGCAGGCATGTGAACTTCAGAGA